CTAATAACCCAATCGATTTCAAATTTTTACACGTTTCTCTGTGAGTGTATAGCTCTCGTATGAACTAGGATAAAGCCAATCGGTGAAGATCTTCCTTATTTTTTAACTTGGTTTCTGGTAAAAAATCGGCGATTTTCCAAAAATATTTTTTCAAAGGTCCACCATTTTCTTAATTTTAGAGCGAAGTCAATAATCCTAGTTCATACGAGAGCCAGACATGTACTCTTTCTAACACCGTTGGAATTTTCTGATTCCGATGTTCCAGTGAGGAGTTATCATGCCCGCCATCAAAAATAAGGACTTTTCTTTTATTACAAAAAACAACAACAAAACAACAACAAAAATTTTTTGTAAATTATTTTTCTTCTATTTTAAATCTTCAATTATATATGTGTGAAGTTACAAACCTTAACAAGCATTGGTATTGATTTACCAGCCGATTGAAAATCTTGAAAAATTAAAATCGAGAATGGGGGGGGTTCCCTTAATTGTTAATAACTAAACACACCAAAATATACAAATGAATGTTAAGTGCAACACAAACTCGGCAAACAATAGCCGGCAATCATATATCCACACACGCACACACACACCAATACAAACACATCTTAATTAATTTCATTGTTTAATTTTTGTATTTTTCGATCATCGTTGCATTTGCTATTCATTGAGCGTGAAATATGTATGGCTGAAGTTTTGCCTTAAATTCGTGAAATCTAAACGGATACAAAGAAGTCTATGTCGATATTTGAGTTAAGGAAATCTTTATAACAAAACTAAAAATAATAATCACAACAATCAATATCGAAAGGGAAACGTTCCGTTTATGTGTTATTTCCTATGGAAAATTGTAACTGGTATTTACGTATGTATATGTAAATGAAGGAAATGTTATGTTATTTTCCTAACAGCAAATTTCCTTCCTTTTCTACATTATAAAAAAACAATAAGTTTATGATACCTTTCACCACTTTGGGTGTACTCATCAGGACCATTGATACGTTTCGTGTCAACCGGTGCAACATTTACCTAAACTCCAACGAACATACAAATGGGAGTTATATCTAAATCTAAATCGATTTCAACAAAATTATATGACAATCGTACAAACTTTGGGTCTTTAGTGCACACATAACATAAAATCGGACGAACCTATATATGGGAGCTATATCTAAACCTGAACCGATTTTCACGAAACTTAGCACACATCATTCTAGACTTAATCGAGTACGCTATGCCAAATTTCGTGCAAATTCAAGGATACATAGGGACTTTGGTGCACCATTTACATAAAATCGGACGAAACTATATATGGGAGCTATATCTAAATCTGAACCGATTTTCACAAAACTTAGCACACATCATTCTAGAATTAATTCAGTACCCCAGGCGAAATTTCGTGCAAATCGAAAGATATATAGGGACTTTGGTGCACCATTTACATAAAATCGGACGAAACTATATATGGGAGCTATATCTAAATCTAAACCGATTTTCACGAAACTTAGCACACATCACTCTAGACTTAATTCCGTACGCTGTGCCAAATTTTGTGCAAATCCAAGGATATATAAGGACTTTGGTACACCACTTACAGAAAATGGGACGAGACTATATATGGGAGCTATATCTAAACCTGAACCGATTTTCATGAAACTTAGCACACATCATTCTAGACTTAATCGAGTACGCTATGCCAAATTTCGTGCAAATCGAAAGATATATAAGGACTTTGGTACACCATTTACATAAAATCGGACGAAACTATATATGGGAGCTATATCTAAATCTAAACCGATTTTCACGAAACTCAGCACACATCACTCTAGGCTTAATTCTGTACGCTGTGCCAAATTTTGTGCAAATCCAAGGATATATAAGGACTTTGGTACACCATTTACAGAAAATCGGACGAAACTATATATGGGACCTATATCCAAATCCGAACCGATTTTCACGAAACTTAGCACACATCATTCTAGACTTAATCGAGTACACTATGCCAAATTTTGTGCAAATCGAAAGATATATAAGGACTTTGGTACACCATTTTCAGAAAATCGGATGAAACTATATATGGGACCTATATCTAAATCTGAACCGATTTTCACAAAGGACTTTGGTACACCATTTACAGAAAATCGGACGAACCTATATATGAGAGCTATATCGAAACCTGAACCGATTTTCACGAAACTTAGCACACATCATTCTTGACTTAATCGAGTACGCTATGCAGAAAATCGGACGAGACTATATATGGGAGCTATATCTAAATCTGAACCGATTTTCACAAAACTTAGCACACATCATTCTAGACTTAATTCAGTACCCCAGGCAAAATTTCGTGCAAATCGATAGATATATAGGGACTTTGGTACACCATTTACCTCAAATCGGACGAGAATATATATGGGAGCTATATCTAAATCTGAACCGATTTTCACAAAACTTTGCACACATCATTCTAGAGTTAATTCAGTACGCTGTGAAAAATGTCGTGCAAATCGAAAGATATTTAAATCTGACCGATTTTCACGAAATTTAAAACACATCATTCAAGACATAATTCATTACGATATGCCAAATTTCGTGTAAATCGAAAAATATATAGGGTCTTTGGTGCACCATTCACATTAATTCGGACGAAAATATGTATGTGAGCTATATCTAAATTTGAACCGATTTTTCCGAATTTCAATAGGGTTCGTCTTTGGGCCAAATAAGTGACCTGTGCCAAATTTCATCCAATTCGGATTAAAAATGCGTCTTTACAATTTAACATTGACAGACGGACGGATGGACATGCATAAATCGACTTAGAAAGTGATTCTATGCATATTCTCAAAAGGAACCATGTGTCTATGTCGTTTCCTTTTGCCTGCTACAAACATATGCACAAAGACATAATACCCTGTACGACAGTGTGGTGAAGGATATAAAAATTAGTGAAAAAACAGAATAATAAATTTTCAGCTGGTCGATGACTTTTGTTGTCACTACCCCAATGTCGCTATTGACTCACTATTGACAATTGACGGTCGATGTTCGAATAACACGTTCGTATAAAATGTCTATATGGAAATACATGGAGTTGTCAACAGTCAGTCAGTAGTACTAGTAACAATGCCAGTAGTGACTCACTATTGGTCATTCCTACAGGGTATACATCCATTTATAAGATTTGAGACATATGAAACTTCCGGAGATTTAAGACATCTTCAATCTCTCTCCTATCCATGTAAATCTTAAATGGAAATAAGAAAATCTTAAAGTTGCTACGTCCGATCGTCTATATGGCACTCTATGGGCGAATAACGTAATTTGAAATAACGAATTCCGGTCGTATAAAAACAATTCTTCCTAGAAAATGTTCAATATGGGTTCCACAAAGTTCTCATATAAAGTTCCCGCTTAATATTTGGGCTGTGGAAGTTTTCCAACTTGAAGGTCTGTAATTTTTTTAATGAATTATCGGATATAACGACGGTATCCAAAGGTCCTTACAAAAGTTCTGTCCTTTATTTGATATCCTTTATAGCGACTATCGCTTATAGCACCCATTTTGCCGGTCTCACGTTATAAACGATTTCGACTGTAATCCAGCAAGCTACTTGCAGACAAAATACAATAACATAGTCTTCATATAAACGTCCCGTCAGCTTTATGTACACCTTAAGGTTGAGTGCATACAAATTCGATGCTTAGTTGTTTTCCTTCTACATTCAAAATCACATTTTTGTCATTCCTCGAAATATTGCAATAAAGCTCGCAAATATTAGAAATGCAATTAGAAATAACATTTTGATGTTTGCTATTGAAATTTTAATATACCTGAAATTTTAATATTTTGATGTTTGCTATTGACATTTTAATATACCTGTCCACGTTTTGGTATAGTCCCATATAACGGTAGTTAGACACGTTATTCGACATAATTTCGGATTTTATTGGAAATTTAAAAATTTGTCAATGGTAGCTTCCCATATTAGCACCATTTTCGACCGACTTGAGTCGAATATGGTAGCCCCATTTTTTAAGAATTTGGGCTCGATTTTAACCATCACCCGCCATTTTCGCTATGTTCAAGGTCTTCGCTCAATTCCCAACCAGAATATTTTAGGTTTTGTATTACATTTCCTTCTTCTATCAATTATCATTGTGGCTCCCATCTAAAAGTCCCGATCGATTTCAGGCGCTATATCGAATGTCCACCTCATGATGGAGTGTATTTCATATTGAAAGGTCTTCTGAATAACTCGCATAATAACATTTTGTATAGAAGACATTTTGCAAACCTTATAAGAAGTATTTTCTATTTGTACGTTCGATTTTCCCCCTTTGATAAAAATAAAAACACACACTTCTCTTCGATATATTTAAAAAATTTTGCAACAAAATATTTCTTTTATTTATAAAAAAAGAAGTCATTCATACAAAGTACAGGACTATGTATAGGGTTCAGATCCATTTCTCAATATAAAAAATAAACATGTATAACACAAACGGGCTCTCTATAAATAGGTAGATAAGCATATAGATAGAAGATTACAGGCGTACATAGCTCGGATATACATATAAAAAAACATATGTAATTTAGTTTTATTTGGGACATGGGATTGGAGGATTTGGGGTCAAACAGGATTCTGGAACGGGGATTTTGAAATTAAAAAAAAAAACGTAAAAATAGAATTAATAATTATTTGTTCTTTGTTGTTTTGCCTTTCAAATGCAATAAACAATAATCTGGATTTACATTTACAACTCGGTGTTTCGATTCATCGCCTATCGCGTTCACTTCCGTCTCTTGTACAAGAACTGACTAGATTCTAGACACATCTAGCCCTAGACAACTACTTAAACGACAATGGTTGGTTTCAATTGTTAAAAAAAAATAAAATTAAAAAACTTTGCTAATTAAGAAAAATTAAAGGGCAGTGATGGTTCCTTAGTTAACGAAATATCACCTCTGACACAAAGCCAATAGCCGGTCTATGGATTTAGAAGTTGAAGGGAATACCGGGTTTGGGATAATCGTAGCCCTTGAATGAAGGTGTTACGGGAGGAATATATTTGTTTGGTGGATTGGTAACACGAGGTGTTACACGTGGTGTTGGTGGTTTAGTGGGCGGGGTGGTGACTGGGGTTGGTGGTCTGTTTGTGGGTTTAGGCGTGGTTGAGGGAGGAAGATATTTGGTTGGTGGATTGGTAACACGAGGTGTTACACGTGGTGTTGGTGGTTTAGTGGGCGGGGTGGTGACTGGGGTTGGTGGTCTGTTTGTGGGTTTAGGGGTGGTTGAGGGAGGAAGATATTTGGTTGGTGGATTGGTAACACGAGGTGTTACACGTGGTGTTAGAGGTTTACTGGGCGGGGAGGTGATTACACGGGGGGTGGGCTTAGTTGTTATAATCTTTGGTGTTGATTCAGGTGGAAGATAGGTTGGTCCAGGTGTTGTGGCTGGGGATGGTGGTCTGTTTGTGGGTCTAGGGGTGGTTGGGGGAGGAAGATATGTGGTTGGTGGATTGGTAACACGAGGTGTTACACGTGGTGTTGGTGGTTTAGTGGGCGGGGTGGTGACTGGGGTTGGTGGTCTGTTTGTGGGTTTAGGGGTGGTTGAGGGAGGAAGATATTTGGTTGGTGGATTGGTAACACGAGGTGTTACACGTGGTGTTGGTGGTTTACTGGGCGGGGAGGTGATTACACGGGGGGTGGGCTTAGTTGTTATAATCTTTGGTGTTGATTCAGGTGGAAGATAGGTTGGTCCAGGTGTTGTGACCGGGGTACGTGGTGTAGTAGGCTTAGTGGTTGACTTGGTAGTAGCACGGGTTGTGGTAGTAGTGATAGGTTTAGTTGGAGGTCTAGTTGTTGGTTTGGCGGTAGTTGGACGTGTTGTAACTGGAGTTGGTGGTCTAACAGTGGTAACTGGAGTTTTGGGTGGCAAATAGGTTGGTCCAGGTGTTGTGGCTGGGGATGGTGGTCTGTTCGTGGGTGGTGGTGTGGTTACAGGCTTATATGTTGTTGTGACCTTGGTTGTTGTAATTGGAGGAAGGTAAGATGTTGGTGGCTTAGTTGCAGGGGTAGTAGTACGTGTTGGTGTTGGTTTAGTAGCAGGTGTTGTTCTAGGTGTGGTTTTTGTTGTGATCTTAGGAGTTGTGATTCGTTTAGGTGTAGTAACGGGTGTGGTCTTGGGTGTTGTTTTAGTCTCTGGTGGCAAGTAGGTTGGACCAGGAGTACTGGGTGTTTTTGGTGGGGCACGTGTAGTTATGATACGACGAGGTGTAGCAGGTGATGGAGGTCTATTAGTTGGTGGGGGTGTGGTCACAGGCTTACGGGTTACAGGAGTACGGGGTGTTACTGGTGGCTTAGTGGTTATCACAACACGTGGAGTTGTAAATGTGGGAGGCAAATAGGTGGAACCGGGAGTACTCTGTGTGGGACGTTTTGTTGTTATTATTGGTGGACGGGTGATACGTGGTGTAGTTATCACAACTGGACGGGTTGTGGGCTTCTTAGTTATTTTAGGTGTAGTTGGGGGTGGCAAATATGTTACTGGTGGTTTTTCAGTCCTGATAGTGGTCCTGGTCGTTTTTGGTGTAGCCGTAGTGGGTGTTGGAGTTGGCGCCTTGGTTGTAATACGGGTTGTGACTGGTGTTGGTGGCCTATTGGTTGGTGGAAATGTTACTGGTGGCTTAGTGGTTATCACAACACGTGGAGTTGTGGGAGGCAAATACTTGGAACCGGGAGTACTCTGTGTGGGACGTTTTGTTGTTATTATTGGTGGACGGGTGGTACGTGGTGTAGTTATCACAACTGGACGGGTTGTGGGCTTCTTTGTTATTTTAGGTGTAGTTGGGGGTGGCAAATATGTTACTGGTGGTTTTTCAGTCCTGATAGTGGTCCTGGTCGTTTTTGGTGTAGCCGTAGTGGGTGTTGGAGTTGGTGCCTTGGTTGTAATACGGGTTGTGACTGGTGTTGGTGGCCTATTGGTTGGTGGAAGTGTTACTGGTGGCTTAGTGGTTATCACAACACGTGGAGTTGTGGGAGGCAAATACTTGGAACCGGGAGTACTCTGTGTGGGACGTTTTGTTGTTACTATTGGTGGACGGGTGGTACGTGGTGTAGTTATCACAACTGGGCGGGTTGTGGGCTTCTTAGTTGTTATAGGTGTAGTTGGGGGTGGCAAATATGTTACTGGTGGTTTTTCAGTCCTGATAGTGGTCCTGGTTACTTTTGGTGTAGCCGTTGTGGGTGTTGGAGTTGGTGCCTTGGTTGTAATACGAGTTGTGACTGGTGTTGGTGGCCTATTGGTTGGTGGAACTGTTACTGTTGGCTTAGTGGTTATCACAACACGTGGAGTTGTGGGAGGCAAATAGGTGGAACCGGGAGTACTCTGTGTGGGACGTTTTGTTGTTATTATTGGTGGACGGGTGGTACGTGGTGTAGTTATCACAACTGGACGGGTTGTGGGCTTCTTAGTTATTTTAGGTGTAGTTGGGGGTGGCAAATATGTTACTGGTGGTTTTTCAGTCCTGATAGTGGTCCTGGTTGTTCTTGGTGTAGCCTTAGTGGTTGTTGGAGTTGGTGCCTTGGTTGTAATACGAGTTGTGACTGGTGTTGGTGGCCTATTGGTTGGTGGTGGATACGTAAAAGGATTTTGCGGTGGTGGATAATCGTAGCCATTGAAGGTCTCACGAACAGTTCTCTAAAGAAGGGGAAAGTTGTCAAAATAAAATTGAAAGTAAAAAAAACACAATTAATATTAAAAAAAAGAGTTATAAGTAGACAAGTTTATGGATCTAAAGATAGAATTTATGCAAAACCAAACATACCACAATACTATCATCACTTTCGGCATAAATGCCAATGGCGCATAGGGCCAGTAAAATTATTGCGCTCCTCTGAAAAGAAAATGAAAAAAGATGAAAAAATTAAAAACTGTTGAATGTCAAGCTGAAACCGGGTGGTCATTGTCAGAACTGAACAATAAATGTGAAAATTAAACAAATAAATTTTAATTAGTCTCATTTGGTTGTGATTGTGACAAGTGATAATATTTATTTATTTTTGTTGTTTTTGTATATAAATGTCATAATGTTATTAAGCTTTTATTCAAAACAAAATTACGGAAGTCAAATATATTTTATTTTTCTTTGAAGAAACTACTAGTTTGTAAATTCAAAAATAAATTCAAAAACTATGCGACTGAATTTAGAGAATAAGTACAATTAAAAATGTGTATACAAATGTCCTTTTCAAAATGAATTAAAAACAATGCCGTTTAATAAACGGTATTTGATTTTTAAACAAAAGACATTTATGTGGGGGTATTCGAAATGCCTTCGACATTATTGTCTGGCATATAATCTTCTTCTTCCACGCCACACCACTTTTTTTTTTTTTTTTTTTGTTAGTGACCTAAGCCCATTGGCGGGTTACTTTTGTTAAGTAGTCGTTGTTGTAGCTGCTGTCGTGTTTTCGTTTCTCTTATCGTTTTGTTATAATTAAGTTGATTTTTACCTTGACTATTAATCAAAATACTCTGTGATGAGCCCTGACTGCTTAGTATTAAGTCCAGTTTGCAGTTATTGCCTCTCGACAGGCTAATAAAAAAAACGTTGGCTTGTGTCTGCTATTATTGTGGATATTTTTTTATTTTGATTTTTATCTTTAATTCGTTAAGTACTATAAATTATGTTTTTTATCTTCAAAATCGAAATATTATTAATTATGTCACAATAATTAGTTCAAGGACAAATGTCAGCTAAATCTGATTATAAAGAATGATAATAATAATAAAAATGAAATTGCACATCAAAATGGACCCACAATTTGATGGGTTGCCGTGTCAAATTTTAAAACAAGTTATGCGATTTATTTGTGAATTCCATAGGAAACAGATGCGGAAGCTTGTTTTAATTGTGCGATTATTTTATATAGTGAATATTTCTTACTATATGCCCTAAATATCTTTTTCGATTTATGTATAATCTGAAATTTGTATTCGTGATAGAGGATTTGGTCTATTTGAAGACATTTAAAAAAATAGAAAAAAAAAATTGTTTTAAAATTATATTTGAACATCTTTTTACCGTTACCGTTGTATGGGGACTATATCAAAACGTGGACCGAACTCTATCTTAAATAATGCGATCTATATTGTAATTGCAAAAAAAAGTTATTCCAAAAATGTTTTTTTTTTTAAATTCCACATTTGAGACTATTTAAATTGTAAAAAAATATATAACCAGTGCAGCCCCAAAAGTTTGTAACGCCGCGAAATACCCTACACAACTACCACGGAACCAAATTTTTATGTTTAATCCAAGCCTCGTCATATCTCGACTAGCATCCCCTTGCCATGTGTGTAAACCGTCCGTCTGTCAATTATATTTTGTAAACACGATACAGGCCACAGTTATAAACCAATCTTCGCGAAATTTTGTGTTGTGATGCTCGGCTTTCATTTGTGGCTAATGAAGAAAATAACACAAAAAATTGTTTTTGGAAAAGATCGGTTAATACTTTAGGGGATGAAAACATTTTTTGATCAGGTTTTTCCGCTCTCTAGGGTGATTATGGGTTACTAAATAATATACGAATACGGAGATACCTGTAAATATATAGGTGTAACTCCCACATCCGAGCACAGAATAACAATATAATTTTGATAAAGATTGGTCAACCACTCCTCTTGGGTCAAATATATACTTTTGTGTGAAAAATCAGTGGTAAATATATATGTATAGAATACAAATTTTGCGTATATATTTCACACAAACTGAAGGACATATACCCGAGAAGTTTATAGTATATCCAAGAGGAGTGGTTTACCTTTACATTGATACCAATTGCATTGTCGTGTGTACTCGGATGTGGGAGTTACACTTAAATATTTACAGGTCCTTACGTATTCATATATTATTAGTAGCGCATTACCAAACAGAGGGGGAAATATTGGCCAGAAGCCATCCTACATGCAAAATTTCCACGAGGATCCAGGTATAGACATGGACATATACAAATTATAATGAACATATTTGAATGACACAAGTGACCTCAGCTAAAACTTAATTTTTTGTGTTTTTTTAAAGGTCGATTTATAGGCCACTATTGAAAGCCGGACATCACAACACAACCCACGGTGAAGGGGATCTGGACAAGTAATTAGAAGAGCTGTACTGAGTATTAGTAATATTTGTAGACGTGTAACCCTTAAAAATGCACTCCTTATGATCTTAATGCCCTTTAAAATCTATTGCATTAAAAATCCATACTTACGACTCAAATATCCTTTTACGATATATTTATAAAAAATCTAAACTCATAGCTACGGGAATCTTTAAAAATATATTAAAAATTCTAAATTTATAACTTTAATAAAAAGATAATGATTGGAAATCCGACAGTCCTTCAAATTTTTTTTTAATTCTTGAACAATACCATTTTCCCTTTCAAAATTCTACATGGTCCTATTATATATATGAGTATATATTTTCTACCACAAAGGTCATTAATGCATATGAAAGCACACATACACTAACATTAACAAGTTTAAAAAATTGTTAATAATCGACTAATCAAATCGTAGCATATGTGTTACCAAATCCATTTTTGTCGGTATAAAATATGCATCAATGAATAATTTACGTATTTATGTGTATTGTGTGACATTTCTTTTTTCTCCTTGATTTGCATTTCTAAAGAAATTGTAAAATTTTGCTATTTTGTTATATAGTTTTCAAATTTGCAACACATCTTTTGCGAAAAGAAAGCTATAATAATGAATACATTCTGTATTATATATTATCAACCCCACCCACCTTCCTTGCGACCGCTATGATTATGACGTCTATTTATCACTGTGCTATAACACTTCAACATGCCAACCTGGAGGGGCCATTGGCCTATCAACCAATAATTTATAATTGCCTAATAACATGACATACATATCTATAATGGCATGTGTTAGTGAGAGAGCAGACACCAACAGGTGTAGTTATGTATGCCTGTGTGTGTGCGTCGTGTCTGCTTAAATAATTATGAAATAAAATAAATGTTAGCTGATAGATATTTAAATGACACAGCATTACATCTCTCTTTATATATGCGTGTGTATAGATGATGTACGAGTATTAAATGTTGTACAATTGTCAATAACAAGTTGTTAATGGTATGCTGTTTGCACTTGAAACAAATTAAATGTTTTTACTATTATTTTGTATGGTTTTATAATATAATAATTATACGGTAATGAGAAAAATTGTAAATGAAGGGAATTAAGAAATGCATTCTTAAGGGATATTTTTCATTTTTGAAATTTCAAACATTTTGGAATACTAAATGCCGTTCTGTACTGAAATTCCTGACAAAATATCTGTCGGTAATGACAGGCAGTCGAATGGTAATTAGACATGTCGGGTTATTAGTGGGCAAATATGCTTCCACGTAGATCTACATTGGCTACGTATTGAACTTATATTCATTCCAATTGTTGAAATCTATTCAAGCCATGGAGATATGACTGAAAATTGGGTCTAGGATCAGTACTTCAGAGTATGACTCTGACAAAAAACTTATTATTGTCGTCTATATGACATTCGTCACCAGATTTTGGATATGTTAAGAGTTAGGATTAATAATATAATCAATAAAAAATATATCTATGTCTAAACCGGTTTCAATTGGACATAAAATTGTTTTTTCTAGATTAAATTTGTGTGTGGGAAATTTCGAGTCTATCGAAAATACGTAGAATATTTGGTATATCATTTACATGAAGTCTGACATATGAGAGCTACATACAAATATGAACCATCTTAAACATAGGTATACGGTTTCTAAATGGGTAAAAGACCTTCGATCAATAAATGCTGAATATAGGCTCACAATTTTCACATAGCTCCGCATAACGTTATGTCGATATTTTAAACAAATTGAAGTTGAAGGAGAATTGCTCTATACAATTTTCCTGGATAGAATTACAATTTTCCTCCCATAGAAACAATAAAACTGAATGTCGTTCTGATAAATTTGAAGAATTCCTGAATGATTGCATTAGAACCTAATGATTCTTCCAATATAAAAGCTACTGACAAATTTGTCATACGGGAACTCAACTTTCATAGGATGAAGATAAATATTTTGAATAGCGCATGCAAAAATTAGTAATTTAGTAATTTCAAAGAATATAACACCTCCTGCAGACATTTTTCAATATAGTTACATTTTTATTAAATCGCCACCATTGGAAGATCCCACTCCATCTTGGGTATTTTTTTCATCATATTTGCCTTATTTTTACATATATGCGTAAAGGATAAAAATCCGTGGGCCAGAAAATTTTCAATGTAGATCCATGTTTTGTGTCGGGTCTCATTAAAGTAATTTTGTATGTCCTAGCCTCAATATCCAAACGAAGTTTCTACAATATGGAAATTCGATTTCTCAGAGAATGCAATATTTCCTCTCCGAAAATTGTCAATAGAGGTCCTATCTCTATTTGACATTCCAGTTAAGAACTTTCTACGCAGAAAATTTTCGATATAACTATTGATATAGGCATCTTAGATAAATGTTCCTCGCCATTATAAGAAATTTATTGGTGCTAGCCTCATTTTCCATGAATAATAGCTATAAATAGATATTTCGGGTCATTCTAGGACAATATTTCCACAAAAGTAAATATTTTGACAGCTTTTGATTGATTTTATCCCAAACCGCATATAAGGAGACGACGGAACGTATAAACCAACAAAACATATTGTGAACATTGATAGCCGAAAATGACAATAAAAATAAATCGAGCTTATGGTCTGGGAGGTTGGAAAATTCCTTATGGGATGAAATTCCTGGGCGAGTATATTTAAAATCCAGGAGGACAAATTCGATATAGGTCAAC